GCTTTCACAAACCATTTTAGCAATGGATTTGTTATATGCAGGTTTTTTTTTCTCTTGCTGACCTTGTGACAACAGCTCTGTTTTTTGACGCAGTGAGAGTTGTTTCATGCTGAGGCACATACTTTCTCTGGTGGAAGGATGGTCTTTCCACAAACTGAGACACTTGCAATAACTCTTCTGCAGATGACCCAAGATATGGGCTTAAATGTGAAAATTGTTCCAGAAAAAGACAGGTTCTCTCTGGCTGTCAAGTCTGCTCTGACAGAGTACTGTTTTACTGGTAAATGTGAAATTTCTTAATCTGTTTGAGATCTTTTTCTTCCCTTCAGCCCATGTTGTAATAGTCATATTTTAAGATAATTGATTGAGGCTTCGATTCTTTGAACTGAGTGTGTTAAAGCCCTTAGCAAAAGGGACCAGAGAATCTCTGTCGGTCGTTCACCTCCAGGAGCAGAGGCTAAAACAAGCTTTCTTTTTTCTTTTTTTTTTTCTGTAAAAATGCAAATCTAAAGGTATTAAATAATATTATTTTGAGAGAGCTTCCTAGTTGATGTGATCATCTGTTGAATGTAGTGATGTTATTTTCTAATGAAGGGCATGATAGAAAGTGATCTTAGTTTACATGAGGTATCGGCTCGTTTCATACAACATTAAGAGCTGAGATGGTAGCACGACTTCTTAATTATTATTCCCTTCTATGATCTGATTTGGAACATGCTAGGAAGGCTTTGTGTGTACCTGGGTAAACTAATAGCAACTCTGTTTGGCAGTTGTCATGTCAGAGAAATTATGAACGTCTTCACCATTGTGAAATGTGGGGTTTTGTTTCAGCAGGGATGCAACAGTGTGTACTTGACTCTGCTTGTTGCATTTTTCTCCTTGTGTTATTTCAAGAATGTAGTCACACTCCTGATTCTTGGCTGCCGGAAGAACTGAGGGATTAATGCTGAGTTCAAAGTCACAAGTTAGTATTGTAAATGTGATTCTTTCTTCATCCTCTGACTATGCCTCCTCCTACCTCCTTAATTGGACAGAAGTACAAGCGCAAGAAAAAGAGGGGAAATAACTTCAAAAGCTGTCGCAATATTCAAGTTAATTCAAAAATAACATGAACAAAAACCAGACAATACAAACAATTTTAATGTGTTGCTTTCACAGTGTTCTTGAATGTTCCCGTGCTTAGGAACTACCAAAGTCTGGACACTTCAGAAATGCTCTCACTGATGTTTAATGACTCTTTCTAATCTACTAATCCTTTTTCATAATATAATTTTGATCTCTGACAAAATTTTAAACTAAAATTACGTTTTCTAATGCGAACTAAACAAAATGAGAGGGTTTTCATGCAAACAAATCTATCCTCTGGTTTGTTTTTTTTTAATTGGCAGAATGAGTTCTTAATCTTTTTAAGCTATAACTGTTACATGTGTCAAGCTGTAATTCTTTCTTATTTTCAAATTTATCCTTGCTCATTAAGTTGTGTTGAAACAACTTGATTGCATTATTGGCATACTCATCTTTTGACCTGAGCCATTTGTAGTTTTCCATCTGAAAGTTTTAGTAAAATCCTTAAAAGTACTGAAAAAAAAAGTGGGTTGTGGTGTTGGGGTTGTGGGTTTTTTTTCTTGTTTTGGCTTGGGTTTTTTTTGCTTGCTTGTCATTGTTGATGAAGGGGTGCTTCAGCGATTATGTAATGGGAACAACTTAAAATGTAATACACCATCCTTGAGAATGATTTTTAAATCTCATACGTCTTACAGGATGGAGATTTTATATAAGAGAGGAAATGTTTGCAAGGCATTTTGCTGCCCTCTTTTGGTAGAGCATTTGTATTGTAAGGAACATGCTCAACTCATTCATAGTTTTTTATTTGTATGTTTAAAAAAAATCTGGTTTTCATCCTTTATTTCCTGAAGAAATGGAAAGTGAAAATTCTTTTACAAAAATAAAATGTTAAATACTGAATCACTCAATATGTTTATTTAATAATGAGAACTTTTTCATTTAGGTCCTGTGTAGGTGAAAGTGGTTATCTCACTGCTGTTAATATCTTCATAGACAGCCAGTACAGTTTGAGAGTATTGATTGCTGACTGAAATACCTATTTTAATTTTTTTTTTTAAGCTTTGCTATTATTAGTTGCATCGACTCTTTCCTCCCAGCTGTTGTATTAAGATGTCCTCATCACTCAGGATTTTGTAGACCTCCAGTTGTTTTTTCCAGAATGCAGAGTTCCAGCTCCTTTAGGTTTTTTTTTTTTTTGAGTGGAAGCTCCTTGGCACATTTGATCATAGTGTTTTGGGGCTCTTTGAACCTTTTCAGTTCTGTTGTATTCTCCATTTTGAGATGGGAACAGACACACAGGGTTTGTGAAGCATGATGATGGTATTTTCTATGCTGCTCTGTAATCCTTTCCTAATGTGTAGCATCTGTTTTGGAACAGAAAGTGTCAGTGAATGAATGTTGTCATAGAATTGTCTGTCATATCCCTAATATCTGGCTCCTGAGTCAGTGGCCAAATTGCAGTCCAGCATTTTACATGTGAATTTAGCAGGTTTCCCCTCTCTCCACTGCATCACTTCAGTTATATCTCAGTTGGGTTTTATTTTGCCAGTTTTATCACACAGTTACTTTGAGTTAGAAGATCCATTAGTAGTTCCTCACAATCAGTCATCCTCCTTGCTATCCTAAATAACTTAATATTAAGAAGCTTAGTCAAGAGCACCTCGGTGTTTCTTTTCCAGGTTGCTTATGAAAATAGGAAATGGCACAGCTGTTGGTATGGCTTATTGCAGAACTGCCTTGGTGACGCTGCTCTTGTGTGAGGAGTGACCTATATCGAGGTTCTATTTCTGTAAAGAAATGAAGAACTTAAGAAAAAGAAAATTGAAATATCTGGCAGCAGTTTGATATGTTATTAAACTCAGTGAATTGATACCTTCTAGTTTCATAAACTAAATATAACATGAAATGTTTATAACCTCAAATGCCTTATCTACGTTTTAGTTTTAGGATTAACACTGTGTACATTTCTAGGTAGAATACACTAGTTTCTGGCAAATGACTGAAAAAAACCGAACAAAATAAAAGCTGCTTTGGAAACTGTAAACATTGGCTCCTGCTTGCAATAGCCTTTTAGCTACAAATATCTGTGCATCCACCTCTCCTGTACAAAAATGAGCCTAAGAGGACCAAGCTGAAGTTGGCCATGATGAAAACCCTGCTTTCCTCTAATAATAGATTTTATCTGGGGGAGAAAGAGCACATAATAAAAGTAGTTTTGTAAAACACAGAGCAAGCCAAAATGTAATGCCAAAAATATTTTTAATATTCCTTTTGGAGCTTATATTTGTGGTTTATGTTGTATTCTGTTGATATTTTGTAGAAATCCCCTACTCATTCCAAATATGTGTCAGGCAGTTACCAGACTTTTTGGTGGACTTCAGAGGCTAAAAATCAAGCATTTAATATGCTGAGCTGCAGCCCTAATTTCTTAGTGACTGCTATTACAACTTTATTATATGGGAGATCAGGAGCTGACGGAAGAACTGATACAGGAGCAGAACTATTTTGCAGCTTCCAACAATGTTAGGTGACAAGTTCAGTAGGAAAAAGTCCTTTTGGTGTACATAACTGGAATTGAATTCGTTTTAGCAATATTTCAGTATTTAATGGGGTTTTATGTTTATTTTTTAAAGGAAAAACATTGTTTTGAAAGAAGATGGACTTCGATAGTAACAGTATATGAGCTGGGGTTTACAGTTCTGCCAGTATTTTCTGAGCAGGAATAGGAATGAAATAGCTGAAGTTCCCTTCATTTTCAGGCTTCAGTTTTACATGGCTCTAAGCATTAAGTGTAGAATTACTAATGGCTTTTCCAAATAAGATTGCCCAGCAGCAGTCTATAGAAAACACATATCTAGTAGCTTAAGGTGTCAAAATTTAGGTCTCCTTTTTGCTTTATAGTTAAAAGCTGCCTGTACTTTGAATTCAGAAGCTATCTTCAGTTTGCGCCTGAAGCATAGCAGAAAAAATGGCTGTGTGTTTTATATACAAGTTCTTATTTTTAAATATGTTGATTTCTTGAAAAGACAAATTGAAATAGAGGATGATAACTAACAAGATTTTTGGTGATACATATTGACAGGAACATAGTGGCCGCAGCTTTGAGGAGAATATGCCGGATTTTTCTTTCAGTAGCAAGTTCCTCCAAGAGATGAAAAAACTTTGAAAATCAAAAAGCTGTATTTCAGCTGACTAGAAACATTTATCTTCTTTCAATATATTTTTAAAAACAAAAGAACATATTAAAAAGATTGGGGAAAGAAGCAAAAGGGGTGTGTACAGCTTTTCTTTCCCATTGTATTTTTGCAGGGCAGTCATTTATTTCAGCCAACCTGGTGGGTTTGGCAGTGAATTTTGTATGATTCCTTCTTACCTGTGTTCTTGTCTTGATGCTGGTTAAGCTGTATGTGTGTGTAGTAGTATGCAGGGGAAGGGGGACACATACACATTCTGATGCTTCTGTAAAATTTGGATAAATACTGGCTGACTAGTTTATCTGAAAAATGTAATTTGTTTGGGGGTGAGGTTTTTTGGATGAGTATTTGTGTTACTGCTATTTCACTGTACTTTTATTTGCTGCTTCGAGTATAAAATACTGTGCAAAGAACAAATGTAACTTCATATCCCGAACTGGGAAGATTGCATCAGTTAGTAAATCATCAGCGGCAGCTTTCTGTTCTTGTAATGTTAAATTAGTTACGGGGAAATTTGATGCATGATTCTTTTTACTGTAAGCATAATGCAACTATTATTATCCAGCTCAGAAAAATAACATGTAGAGTTAAGAATTTTATGTAGTTACAAACGCTGTGCTTTTGTTCTCGCTGGTGCCAAGAGTGTTGATGAGTTTATCTCTTCTTGTCCTGTAACAGTTGCTTGATATTTTTGGTTTTTCGCTTTGCAGCTTAGCCTTTTTCCTTTTCTCACGATTGTAGACAGTTGCAAGAGCAGCAGAGGCAGAAGGAGCTGGAACGGGAGAGGCTGGATCGTGAACGAATGGAACGGGAGAGGCTGGAGAGAGAGAGGCTAGAAAGGGAAAGACTTGAAAGAGAGCGCCTAGAGCAGGAGCAACTGGAGAGAGAACGGCAAGAAAGGGAACGGCAAGAACGCCTAGAAAGGGAGAGACAAGAGAAAGAGAGGCAGGATCGAGAGAGACTGGAACGACTCGAACGGGAAAGGCAAGAAAGAGAACGGCAAGAACAGTTGGAAAGGGAACAATTGGAATGGGAAAGAGAGAGAAGAATTTCAAATGCCGGTAAGAATTTCAAAACTGAGTGTATTCGAGTACCAGACTGCTCTTTATGTGTTTGGGTGATGGAGTGGGAGAGAAGCAACAAAGGGCAGTGAGTACACTTGTGCAACAACAGTCAGTACTTCAGGCTTGTATTTGCTCAAATGCCTTCCTTCTTATGGCAAGAAGTCCAAGATTTTTGACTCTCCTGTCATAATTTTCCATTAACTCTGAAATATTTTTTTTGTTACTGTTTGCTCACTCCATTGCCGTGCTCTTCACATTACTGGAAGAACTTGAATCATATTGGGCACCTTCAACATTGGTTATAGTATGAAGAGTTAAAATTTCTAAATTCCTTATCATTGTTTGCTCTATTAAACAAGATACACTCTCACTACATAATTTGGGGAAAAAACCCCCCAAAACCAAACATACCAGGTTGAGCGCGTTAATGTAGAAGGTATGTACCTACATAAGGCAAAGTAATAGTGTGAGAAATGCCTTTCAGTATGAAGTCTTGCTTAATTTATCATTGTAGTAACATTTCAGTGAAATGTATTATAGGTATTTGTAGATAAGGTAATGCACTGCCTGCGGATATCCAGCAATGACTGAAAGCTTTCTCATTTTGGTAATACCATGGAATATTAGGCAAGCACTTGGTTGTTCTTTAGTAAAAAGCTCAATTTACATAGATCAGCTCATGGTAGAAGTCGAGGAATACTATGTCAGAGACAGTAGCTTTAGAGCAGAGGATTTTATTGGTAGTTTTATTCCCAGTACTTTCCAGTTTGTGATCGAGCTTTTTCTGGGGAAGAGAAAGACGATACCTACTTGCTGCCTATGGTACGAGTTCTGTTAGTGGAGTTGTAGCAAATGTTAAGATCACTACACTTGCTTGCAGTTTGCAACCAAACGAGAAGATAAAAGCTGATAAAAGACTGATTAATCAACCCTGTATCTAATCCATCTCCCAGATGGGATTTGAGAGAACTTACTCTAGAATGTACTTGTAAATCCGAATGTTGGCACAAAAATAGTTGGTAAAATTTAAAAGCAGCTGTTGGTAATATGTAAAACTTTCCTAACAGTATTTTTCACTTGTGCCTAATCCTCTGGTACTAACTGTAGTCTACATTTATACATTTTGTTTGAATGCTGGTTTTGTTGCTTCATTAGCTCCCTTTTTCTCTTTCTCCCTTTTTTTATCCTGCCTTTGCTGCTGCTTTCCATCTTCTGTCCAGCTCCATCTTTCGACAACTCCCCGTATAGCACTCCACTTCCTGACTACTCCAGTTGCCAGCCTCCTTCAGCACCTCCTCCATCATATGCAAAAGCAGTCTCGGCACCACTGGCGGAGGCCACCCCGGAGTACGCTGTAGTGACTTCTGCACCACCGACTTCCACCCCCCCTACACCGCCTCTAAGGCACTCTGCATCACGTTTTGCTACATCCTTAGGCTCGGCTTTCCACCCCGTTCTCCCCCATTACGCCACGGTTCCTCGCCCGCTGAACAAAAGTTCTCGGCCCCCTTCTCCCGTCAACGCCCCAGCCACTTTGCCTCCGAACGCAAAGCCTGTTGCCTGGTCCGCCCCCAGTTTTGCCCCCCTTCCTCCATCTCCTCCAGTCATGATAAGCAGCCCGCCAGGCAAAGCCACCGGTCCGAGACCTGTCCTCCCAGTGTCGGCTTCTAATCCGGCCACCCAAATGTCCACATCTCCCACGGCTCCTAACGGGCTTCCTGAAAACCTGGCTTATCCGGTTCCTTCACCTTCTACCTCAGGTCCAACTCCGCCTCCGCCACCTCCTCCCCCCCCACTGCCTTCCTTTCCGCCTCTCTCACTCTCTGGACCTCAAGCTTCTCCTTCTCCCAACTCCCCCAATGCCTCGACTCCCTCGTCCAAGCCTAGTGTTCTCCCTTCTCCCTCTGCAGCTCCCCCTGCCTCTGTTGAGAACTCTCTAAACTCTGTGCTGGGAGACTCCTCTGCTTCTGAGCCAGTCTTGCAGGCAGCCTCTCAGCCCGTTGAACCTACGACCCAGCAGGGTAAGGCTTTCTGTTATTGCTACTAATGCGCTAATCAGGAATGCAGTTCCATTTACCAATTGGTATCCGAGCCCATAACTGCCCTGAAGAATTAATGCGATGCTTCCAAAAGTTGCAGTGATCTTAATACCACAGCAAATACCATGTGGAGAACTCTGGGGTATGGGAGACTTCACAGCTCCGTGGAGAAGAGCCAGCGTTCTGTGGCCCGCCAGAAGTAAAATTCTGGTTTCTTGAGCTCTGGCTTGTCAAATACTTGCTGGGTAAATCTTATCTGGAACGTGGTGTTAGCAGGCAGAACCTGTAGTTTCCTGATGGCAGCCAACATATGTGTGGCTTTGGACATGTGAATATCTTTAAGCAAGGAATAATCTGGATCACTTTGGTAGCCTGTGTAGTTTCAAACTTAGGAAGTAGTATGTAACACCTGTAGCATTACTTTCTGGACAGTGGTTGTATTTTGATGCATGGCTGTATGCTCACGTATATCTATCTATATAGACAGGTCTTTCTGTGGTATTCTACTACTGTAGCTAAAAAAACTTTAGAAGAAAATTTTGGTTAAGCAGGTGACAGTCTTAGTGAACACTCTACCAATTTGATGGAAATGTGCTTTCCATGGAGGTAAATGTCCTCGTTAATCTGCATCCTGCTTTGATTTAATAGCTTTAGGGTCTTTGTATGTGAGTCTGTGGAAGCTCAGCTAAAGGTGTGGGCAGAGGAGCTCCTGGGGGATGGCCTTGTAGTGTAGGGTAGAAGTGTGTGCTCAGGTGGTGAGTGGTACCAAGAGGAGTTAAAAAGGCTTTTAAATTTACACAGTGGTTAGCAGAGTAGGACATCCGGAGGAGCCATGTGGGAAATTCCTGCCTGCAGAGGTTGCTGAAGGTGGTCGATCACGTGGCATTTTTAGTGGTTTATGGCAATTTGGGCGAGACGGGGGCAGGATGTGTGGGGCTGTTTTCCTAGTCACAGTTCCTATAATAATACCAACACGGTAATCATCAGAATATTCTTTCTTTGATGTACAATACAAAATGCATCTTAGAGTAAAATTAAAGCATTAGAGCAATCATAGATAAAAAAATAGAAGAGCTTGTTCCTATCAGCTTAAAATGCATCAGTCTTCTAACTCACTAATTACTGCTTGTATTAAATTATTAAAGCTGATTCCTGGAATGTTTTTTAGAGGAAAGATCCTTATACAGTGTAGAAATTAGTGTTGGAACTCAAACAGTTGAAGGGTTTGGATGTTCAGATGGTGTGTTAAGTGCTTGTTAGTGCAATGAGAAGTGCAATGAGAATATTTAGCACCGTTGGGACAAACAGTATAGTTCCTATAGGGTCTGGTGCTTGTGCCTCACTCAACTCTTTATAAAAGCTTCGCTTGTTTCCCAGTGCAAGGTTATTGCTTGCAGCACAGAACCTGACTGGAGAGGTTTTCAATCTGAAACTGTCTGATCTCTCATATCATACTACGTAATATTTTTAGTGCGTTTAATAAGAATGTTTCTTTCCTGCTGAAACTCGCAGTGTTTTCTTCCCTGTAAAAAGGACCCTTAATGTCTCATACTCTGAACAAAAGAACCAGTATTTCAGTGGACATTAAGATCTTTCTTTTCAAAATCCTTAATGCGGTCTCTTTGTTTTCTCTTTGATACTAGGTGTTGTCCAAGGACCACCTGCACCTCCTCCCCCCCCCCCCCTGCCCCCTGGCCCAGCTCAGTCTTCAGTAGCAGCCCCACCTCCTCCTGGCCCACCACCACCACCTCCGCTTCCACCGTCAGGGCCTCCGCCGCCGCCACCACCTCCTCCTCCGCTTCCCAGCCAAGTTCCTCCCGTTCCCCCTCCACCTCCTGCTCCCCCCCTCCCTTCCTCTGGATTTTCAGCGGGATTCGTGTCGGAAGAAAACCGCCCTTTAACTGGACTAGCAGCCGCACTTGCTGGAGCCAAACTTAGGAAAGTCTCACGGGTAAATACAGCTTTTGTTTCTTTTTTTTCCGATTCCCATCTCTAAATCCTGTCTTCCTGAACTGGCTGTAATTTTTCTTCAAGATGCGTAGCGGTGTAAAGACTTTTGGGGTAGGCTTAATTCATTATTAAAAAAGCGTTACAAGATGTACTACCAGCTCATCATGTTCTCTATACAGTTACTTTTTTCTTGTCTGTGAACTTTTCTTTCTTTCATCGTCGGCTATCGTTTTATTTGCACATCTCCTGTTATTTTGTGTGTTACGAAGGGTGAAGACTCCTCCAGTTCAAGTGGAGGAGGCGGCGGCGGCGGCTCTGCTTCATCTAAAACAGAGAGTACCCGTGGAAATGGACCCCTTCCCTTGGGAGGCAGTGGGTTGATGGAAGAAATGAGTGCCCTGCTGGCCAGGAGGTAAGGATCTGTTCATGTACTCCAGCTGCTGGGTCAGCACAGAGGGAGGATTTTGGGTGCCTGCTTGCAGCTGGCGAAGGATCAAATAAATAAGCATGGGCTTGCTCATGTGGTTGCTTTGTGAAGTTGATAACATTTAGTGAATAGTCGTTTTCACTTGAGTGTAATCGAGTACTTCTGTGTAACTCTTTGTGCAGCAGCAGGGGAGGGGATACAGACTTCAAGAGGAGAAAGAATTGCACAATTGCTTTGGCAGGAGGGCTTTGTCCTTGAAAGTACTTTTTTTAAACACTACTTTTCAATTATCAAGCTATCAAGCTGTGTGTATCTTTACGCGAAACAACATTCTTCCTTCTTAAAGCCATGATGATCTTGGTAACTTTGTCTCTGCTTATAGGAGAAGAATTGCTGAAAAGGGATCAACAGAACCAGAGCAGAAAGAAGACAAAACTGTGAGTTGAGAAATTTTATCTACTTCACATTATTCAATACTAGATTATAACAAAGAATCTAATGGTGTATCTGAGAGATTGTTTATACTTTACCATATATATACATACACACACAACACCACTATTTTGTGAAGTGCACAGTGCTTGCACATTTTAAACATACAATTGCGCAGAACCATTTAAATCTATATAAAAAGTGGAATAAATATTTGAACAGTTGAGAATAATCTGTTAGATTCACAAGAGCCAAAGGTGTTTATTTTCCTTCTCTCCTCCTCCTCTCTCCTCCCTTTTAATAGGAAGAATCGGAGTCTTCAACTTCTAAGGTTTCTTCAACAAGCACACCAGGTAAGTAGCACAGGTTTGTGAACTCTGTGACTCTGTAATGCTAAAACCTAATGATGAGTCTCAGCCAGCTGTGCTGAATTTGGGAGCCTTCCTCTCCTTCCATGTTTATAGCTTGGCATTTTGCTGTAGAGTGGGTCCTGATTCAGAAGATGGCAGGTAAAAAGAGCATCCACTGGAACAGTGTGCTTGGTATAGGGGTCTCCTGTGTCAAACCTATGGGGCTGAGGCACAAGCAGTTGGTGGTGAAGGGGAAAGCAGCTGTCCTTCAGTCCTTGCAGGACATGAGCTGGGACAGTAGTTTGCTTCCTTCAAGGCCAATGTACAGCAGTATCAGAGTCAGATAGAAGCAGTTGCTGCTTCCAGGTACTTTACTAAGGTTTCTCTCACAACAAATATCCTTTCTAAATCAATATAAGTGTATGGAGTTAGAAATTCAACTGTGATCCCTCTGCTGGGATATGCTGGTGGCAGGGTTAGGAACTGTGTACCCAACACTTCTGCTGCAGTCAGTAAGGAAAGCTTGTGTGTCATCAGCCTTGTAGCCGGCCGAGATGTACTGTCAGCACATATGTGTGTTCATACTCTAAATGCTTGTGTTACCAGGGCTCAAGTGGCGCTCAAGACTTTATTTTCCTGTACTTCAGTAGTACCTTCTTGCACACTTACCTTCCCTGGCCACCTCCCCACTATGCACATACAAAAGCAGGAGGATATGCCATATAACCTGAAGTTTATCATCCCCAAAAGATACTGGAAGCAGAAGGCAGATGACTGGGTAACGAATATACCAGTCTCCAGTATGTTTTAGCTTTCTTTGTTGATTGCTTGCCCAAGTGTTTACTTCCATACTTTTTCACTAGATGATTCAGCCACGTGACAGTCTGCAGACCTTAATATTGAAAACCACTGCTGTAGAGTGAGCAAAATCCAGGTGGCCACTGGCTGTTGGGTAAAAAAGAGAGCTGGGAGCTAAGTGTGTCCCAATGGAAATAACTGAAAAAATGTTAGTATTGAGATACAGCCCATAGTCTAAAGAAACTAGAATGCAAGATTTAGGTAAGACCACTTAAGGGCAAAAAAAATAAACTCATTCACCATGCAAGAACGTAAAAGAAAGAGTCCTTAAGTGAACTGTTTGCCTTATTTCAGCTGTGATTTCTGTGCATCTGCTGTTGACAAACAAACCTGCACAATAAAGCTGGCTCTCACATGTCACTTTAGATCACAGTAATAAACTCAGGGTGGCGAGTCAGAGTTCCTTGGAGAGGATTCTAAGCAGAACTGAAAGCAGGCTCCAGAATGGAAAGTGAAGCATGAGTGTGTAATCAAGTTAGGTTGGGCTTTTAAATCTTTACAAATTAGAATAGACTAGACCCAAACATCCTCTTCTGCAGTGTATCATAGAGTGCTTGCCCATAGTGTATAAGCTGCCCACATGGAAAAAGAGATGCACAGTACAACTTTATCTGGTATCACGGGTGGTAAGTAAACAAACTAAAATCTCTTCTGGATCCAAAACCTTCCGTTTTGACTCTGTATTATTTTGAAAGGGGAAAATGATACATTGCAACTTTAGAAGTATCTTTATGGAGATAAGACTTTGGTAGAAAATAAATACTGTGTTGCTGGAAGGTATTCTAGTTGGGTGAGGTTGTATTGTCCCTGCTATGGCTTCCTTGAAATTGACACTGAAGTAATTTTATCTAATTCATTAACAGCTCAGGAAAACTCCTTTAGCTTAAAAACATATTCCCATAGTATATGAAGCTGACTATTTGCTTACAATTCCAGAATTTCATATTTCCGCAGCTGAAGCAATAAAACCATAAAGTGTAGGCAGACCTTCTCCCAGTTGGATTAAGAATCAAATGGCATTTACAATGTCTAGAATAAAAGTGAGACTTTAAGGTGCTATGACAACATAAATGGTAGTAGGACTAAAAATACGATGAATACAACAGGAGGTAGCTTAGTAGTAAAAACAAACAAACAAGAACAAGCGAAAACAACCCAAACAAACCAGAAAAGACTGACTAAAGTTGTCAGGCAATTAAAGTTTCCTCATGTGAATTGCACAACAAATAGAAAAAGACAGGTTTTCATCTTCTCATTATGTTTTTCAGAACTAACAAGAAAGCCTTGGGAAAGAACAAATACAGTGAATGGAAGCAAGTCACCTGTTATCTCCAGGTATTTCCTTTTGTTCCAGCCATCTTTTCCTTGCTTTTGCTATTGTTGCTCATGCCACTAAAAATACTGGACTGAAACAGCAAAAATTATCTTAATAATACTAAAAGCAAAATGTAGGGGCTTAAAATTACTGCTGTGGAACTGCTTTTGGCAGTTCTAATTAAGAAAGAAGAGTTGCTTTTGGAGGATGCCAGCAGGTGAAAATTTTGACAGTAAAGTCGAAAGTAAAATCCAGAAGGATTCCTTAACAATTGCTGGTGTATAACTCCAATTATTAAACATTGCTGTGGGCAAACGTATACCTTAACTCCTTCTATTTCTTTAAATTTTAAAGTCTGAAATTTCCTGCAAGGGAAAACCAAATTCAGTGCTGTGATTCATATGTTCAGTAGTAAATCTAGTGAATAGGTTTTCTCCTTTCTTTTTCTGTGCTGGTCATAGAATGGTTATCTCGATACTTAAGCCATCTTGGTGAGATTTGATTCTGTGATAATTTTGAGTCCCTGTGTCACACCAATCCAAGGAAGACCATCAGAAAGAACTGTAGAAATATTATACCTCTTTCAGTGCATTAACGTATCTTGGGTAACTTGTCAGCTGGAACTTTGGTAGGCGTTTCAGAAACACACAAGAATGAAATGGCTGCTTTAGCAATTTATTTTTAGATATATTCAATTGCCGTTTACATTCATTAGAAGGCTTTTGGTTCATTTTAGAATTCCTGTATATTCTGTGTACAGAGGTTAAAGGGTTCTGACCTCTGATAACTTTGTCAGATTACCTGAATTTCTTGAGAGAAAACAAAAGAACATGTTAAACTTGAGAAAGAGGTGTTTAAAATTACTTGAATTCTCATTAAAATTCTGGCCTGTTGGAAGCAGCTATGCAAGAATTGATGATCAGAGAATTAAAACCAGTTATTCTCCAAGTGGCATTACTTGTGATCGAGGTTGCCATTGAGTTCTTCAGTTCTAAACTGCAGCACTAATCAGTCTCAGCCTGTATCTGTCTGTTCTTGCCTGTCTCAGAAATAACCAGGTCCAGGAGTTTAAAATATCTGCAGTCACGATGCTGGCTGGTTGGTTTGTGTTTTGTCAAAAAGTAGGTGACATTGGTGGTGATATCCTGTCTGCTATACTATCGGTGTAACAAAATACTGCTTTACCTGTAGCCTTGACTTCCCCCTACCTGCTTCTCCCTTATCACCTGTTTTAACCAAGGTCTCTTGTTTTCAAGCAGATCGAGATATCAATAGATGTCACAGAAATAGCTTGTGTAAGGAATCCTAAAGAGTGTTTTTATTTGAAGATAGTTGCTGACCTGGCCCTTTGGCTATAAATGCCCTATGTATAAGCAATGGAAGAAAGGGAAGTGAAGGGATTAATAAATGAGCAACTTTCCTTATCAGACTCCTTTGGAGAGTCTGGCATGTCCTTAAGTCTTCATTCTGCCTGTCTCTACAGCTGTAGCTTCTTGTAAAGTGTTTTATGGAGCCGATCACATTGATCCTTTTCCAACTGGGGAAATTTGGGTGTCACTGAGGGCTGTTTAAAAAGGTTTTCCGATCTAGAGCAGTACAGATGTTTTGTGACTTCTCTTGAGATGTATTAAGAAAATCTCTATCATGCTGTTTTTTCAGTCATCCAATGCGAAATGTTGACAGAATTCACCCCTTACTGGGTGTACACTCTAGAAGTACTCACAAAATAAGAACATGTTTATTGGATGACAGTATTATTTTCCAGTGGTCATAACCTGCTGGAAGGTGCCAGAGCATATATTTTAAGTCTGCTAATACAGTTTTCTAGTCAATGTTGACACTTCACCTTGCCAGGATGAGGAATGTTTAATGGACTGAGACAGAAAAGGTATTAGTAGAAGTCTCTCTTGAATATCCTTGCGTTTTCCCTAATTCTCTACAGTTGCCAAGCCTCTCAGCAAGCAGCTTGTTTAAGTAACTTTCTTTGAGTGAGTCAAAGGGGGCTGCTCTTTGAAGCACTAATACTGTGTTTGCCAAAAGGGGATATCTTTCACCCGGGAAGGCTCGAGAACCTGCTTCTGACCCCTGCGATGGGGTATGAGTCATTTATGGGGATTAAACAAAGCATGCCTAAGAAACTGGCAAGTAAGCAAAACTTTCTCTTCAGAGCTTCCAAACCAGGTAGACAAAGGAGTTGTTATTCAGAATAAATGTTCTAAGCATTTTAAAATAACTAGTGTCCTGTTTAAAGTCAAGCCTTTTTTTTGTAGCAGACTTTGAAAAGACTTAAGCTGCGTGATTGTAGTATTACCTGAAACATTCAAATAGAACTCATGGGATATAACTAGTTAAACTCCATGGTGTCTAAGGTACTAAAACTTAACATAATTAAGACCTATTATAGCTTGTTAAGGTAGTGTTTCTCCCCTTCATAGACGGGAATCTCCGTGGAAAAATCTGCTTGCTTCTGAAAACAGGTTCTATGATTCATTAAACAGGTATCATCCTGTTGGGATTTGAGACTTTGTAATAACCATTCTGACCAGTTCAGGGTTGGACTTTTTCTACAGGGATTGGTAATCACCACAGGCATAACCAGGTTCCTCTTCACACTTTGTTTCTTCAGTTGAGCCCATTTTTTGACTGGTTAAAAGCAGGTGGTGCCAAAGGCAAATTGAGATGGCTTAAGAACCAGCTATGAATTCATATTAAATACTGGGCTTTTTGGCAGATACCACCTGCAAAGGTACAAATTCCTGTTGGATATGCCAAGATTTTGTGAACCATTTGCATTGTTTTGAGAACCAGGTTTACAAAAATGTAAGTTTAGGTACACAGGAATAGCAATTATTTTTCCAGGTGAGCTTTCACATCTGCTTTTCACAAATTAAGTAAAGATAAGAGGTTTTGCTGGGTTTAAACATCAGAAAGGGGAAAAAAAAAAAGACTTGTTAAACATAAATGAAAATTTCTGTTGGGAACGTATTAACAAATTAGAATTAGCATCATGTGTATTTTAAGCTGTAGATCTCAGTTTTGCTCTCTGTAGCTATAGTCTTAAAATACTGACATCAAAAGCATTCACGTTTTAAGACCTTTCCACAGGTAAACATGTTACAGTCCCTCAGAATTATGGAGTCAAATGCCAGCTATGTTTTTCCATGAAGGCAGTCATTGTGGTGAATACCTAATCTTTTGTATGAAAAGTTCCCCTTTTAGCTACTTATCTTGGGTGGTGTATTCTGCATGTTGGCATGAATAAAATCTTTACCTTGCATGCTTGATTTAAGGTGTTTTAGGGTCTGTTGAGGTTGCCTCTCTCTCCTTTTAGGCAATGCTATGAAAAACCACATGGGAGTGCTCTTTAGCCACCTTAGGTTTGAACAGTTGGGATGTTTCATTTGCTACATTTCAGTAGTTAATCTATTATTTAATGGCAACTGCATTCACCATTAATTGTTCTTCTGAGCAAGCCATGGAAGGAAAAAGAGGATAATTTTGCAGGGAAGAAAGCTAGAATTGCCTGAGAACAGAAATTATCTAGTTTACAAATTATGGTTTCGTATTTAACTGAATGAAGAACGTCTTGCATTTCAGAAAGCAAAAATGGAATACAGTCTTAAGATGGAGTGTTAGAGTTAATAAACAGGCTTTCCTGTTGAGCACTTTGCAGACAGCAGGAGTATACAGCATATGTAAAGCTGTCTTTTTATTCTAGAGATCTGAAGTAAAAGAAAAAAGAAGCAGTCTAGCTGTTAAGAGCTTTTCTTTAAGGTCCTCTCATTAAAATATTATAAGCCATAAGTCATTTTATTAAAATATGGAAGTATATTTTTCTTTGAGTTCTTCCATTAAGGCATGTAGTAGGTCTCTGTTGTGACTTCTCAGGAATTGAATTTGGGAAGACACTGATTTTTTTCAGCAACGTTGAGTATCTGCTCTATTGCCATAGTGTTTGGGAACGGAGCGATAGTGAACTGAAATGATCAGGAACTATACATGGAGAAAATGAAAAATTCATGCTATCCTACTTGGAGCAAGTCAGTGTTCACAGTTTCAGGTGTAAATTGCCAGTAACACTTTTAATATCACAAATATCATGTATGTGATGAAGTAGCAATTGCCAAAGATCTCATCTTGACAGATGTTTTTTAGCAAGGAATTCTTTCGTAAGGTACTAAGCACCATCAGTATCTAAAGAGTTCTGTAAAAGATCCCAATTTGTGGTTTATCTTCATAGCATTAGCACACACTGTAGACCTTTTGGTGGTTACAAGGTGAATTCTATTTTCCAGCTTCTTCCACTATCAAGTTATTGAATATTTTATCTTCTGTCTTACTCAGTGGATCGTGTATTTCATTTTGGTGTGTTTCAAGCAATAATAATGGTAGCAATTTCTCTCTTGGAACTTAGGTTTAGATTCTCTGAATAGCTGTAGCCATTGACTGTTGGGATCCTAAGGGCAGGACCAAGCTGATGTAACAGCACAGGGACTTGACCTTTGATGCAAAGTCCGGCAGCAAAGGGTCACTTACACATTCCCTTCTGCTGACTCTGTTTTGCATGGTTAATTGCTGGCAGCTTTTTCCCTAAATGAGTGCCACTAGGCTTGACATAACCAACTTGGCACTGCACAGAAATTATCATGAAGCATTAAAAAAGTTGCTGAGAGGTTTCTACCACCTGCCCAGGAGTTACTGCCTTTTGAAAAGATGAATGGGCTCGGGTGTACCAATTCAAAATGTCCTCTCACCAGAAATACTCAATAGCTATGAACCTGTATGAAGGTTTTAATTAATTTTTTTGAATGTGCTAGGCTCTCCAGTGGTACAGGAATGCCCTGTTGTGGGTTAGGAGGAGACAAAATATACAACTCTTCTGTCCCATATTGTTTCTTAACATTTTTCACACTGGGAACCTGCAAGAGGTAAAAAGTATCTGGTGGAGACCACAAAAGTTTGTGTAGTATCACAGTGACATTTTAGTGTGTGTCCCCTTTTCTGTTGGTATTGAGTGTTTTCCTTCTGCTAGCAAATAAGAAAATAGCCCTGTTGGTTATAAAAATCATCAAGACAATCCAGTATGAGGGTCGTTCTGCTTGTACTGAACAAAGACAGTGTAATCAGACAATTTCTTCATGGATGAACTCCTGTCGTGTAAGGAAAGATGCATGAAAGCCAAAGGTAACAGTTCTGTAAAAACAAAGAAAGAAATATATTTATATGTTCACTATTCTTTTTCTTCTGAGTGACAATACAACTTTTTTTGTTTCAGCTAAATTAAAAATACATAAACAATTTTAAAAATTAAAATAGTGGTCGTACTGCTTGTGTACCTCACGCATTCGGCTTTGTTCTGAAAACAAGATTTATACTGTGTATTTGAGAGAAGATAAAGCCCAGAACCGTGCCTTTCCTTCTGGTTTGCCTTTTTTTGGTCCTGGCCACCTTCCATCGTAATAAATAAGGCTGCACCTTCAGGTAATGAATCCAGAAAATGCAGTGTTTAATGAATTCATCCTACATAATTTTGAAGTGAGATACTGAGTTTAGGCCAGGCTTTTTTGTTCAGTGATGCCACATATAAGACAGTGTTTAATGAATTCGTCCTACATAATAATTTTGAAGTGAGACACTGAGTTTAGGCCGGGCTTTTTTGTTCAGTGATGCCACATATAAGGACAATGAGATAGGACTCAGTTTAATCTACTTATATCCTGCCCTTCATTAATGTTAGCATACGGTGATAATTCCAAACGTCGGGGAAACCTCTTGACACGATTAAATTGCTGACAGTTCAACAGCATCTTTTTGGCTTAACGTTTTATAGAGTAATGGAAAGAGAATGTCAGCCAAGATGTAAAAAGTCATTCAGAACAGCAGAACATTCCTCCCTCTTTTTCCCACACCTACCTTCCTTCCATCCTTCCATCCTTCCATCCATCCCCCCACACCTACCTTCCTTCCATCCATCCATCCTTTGGAGACCTCAAGTTTTTGATGTCTCAGGGTATTACGTATGACGTAAGCAAACATTTAATATGACGTAGTCCAAAACACCAGAACTTCCTCTCAAATACTATCTTATAAATCTTGCTGCTCTTACAGTGTTTGCTTTCAGTGGCTTTAGCAATTCATGGAATAATTTAGGTTGGAATGGAGTTAGATAAGGTTTCTCAGCCATGTCCTGTCAAATACTGGAAATCTGCCAGGGTGATTCCACAGCATTCATAGAGTTAGAGCATCAACACGTTGTCATTAGTTGGTGGTAGTGTTTCTTGGAGAAGGGCCTCTTTTGAAATGAGTAAGGGAGGCTGAAAAGGGAGAAAGGAAAGCATTTTACATCTGAAGGCATTCAGCTTTTCTTTCCCATCATGGGGAAAAAAAACAACTGACAGTGAAATCTGTCTGATTTGAAAAGTCCTTGTTTTGAACTAATAACTATTATCATAATTTATATTTCCAGCGTGTGGAAAATGTTCTTGGTTGTTGCTTCCTATTCTGTGTGGTATTTTGGGTCTGCCTGATTTTCCCACCTTCCCTCTCCCAACATTTTTTTTTTTTTGTCATTCTGATTCTTTACTATGTTTTCGATAGATGAATATTAGCGATTTTGATGGGGAAGTCCTGTGTGTCCTGTAATAACAAGTGACCAGTAATTCATGGATGTGTTTTTGTACTGCAGACCAAAATCCACACCAACGGGGCAACCCAGTGCCAACGGAGTCCAGTCAGAAGGTCTAGATTATGACAGATTGAAGCAGGTACGTATCTAATGCTCTGAATAGAAAACTTGGGTATAAGGACTTGCAGCTCTGCAATACCAGTTTATAACTGTTTTATTAATTAGTTCCAAACTTAAATAATGATTTTGTAATTATTAGTCATTATTTTTTCCCAGAGGTGTTTTCAGTATCCTTGGGAGTTGAAACTGTAGGATGCTTTTGCCTTAGAAGGCGCACACAAGATGCTGTTGATACTATGGATGGAACTGGGAAACTGTTTGCCTGGAAAACCTTTCCTTCCCTTCTTCTGTCTACTTAAACAAGCAACCTCAGTGGTTGGCTCTAGAGCCGAGGGGTCAGACCGGCGGGTGGCTCTAGAGCAGGGGGTCCAGCTCAGTGGGTGGCTCTAGAGCAGAGGGCCCAGCTCGGTAGTTTCTAGAGTGGGTTGTAGCTCAATTGTTCCTTGTAGTTTTTAGTTCGGTACTTTTTTTTGCATTCCTAACTTCGGTATGTCCCTTCTCCTCTCATGAGTTCTATAGAAATCAATTTGTAGGACTTCTGCAGCAGGTATTTTTCTTTATTGTACCTGCAGTTGGAATGTTTTGGGGATGCTTTAGGTTTTGGGGGATTAACTTGGAAGATAAAGGCTGTGTTATGCATTTCAGAAGGCTTGAAGGTTGGAAGAATTTCGGATTTCTCTTTGCAGAAGATTACAGATGACAAAACTTAATCTGTTCATGTTGCAAAACTAACCTATTATTTATGCTCTGCCACCGTAGGATATTTTAGATGAAATGAGAAAGGAATTAACGAAATTAAAGGAAGAACTCATTGATGGTAGGTATCAATCTGCTGTTGTTCAGTCTTAGAGTAAGTATGTACAGTTGCACAGCAATAAATGTATTATGTTTCTAGCCAGAGAATGTTATATTGATAAAAGTATCTTTGTGTTAGTCTGGTGGCATAATGTCCTTTGTGCCAGACCTGTTCTCATTGATGGGCCTGTATGTTTTCCCTCCTGTACTTTTTTGATTTAATAGACGAAATAGTAGTGTCTTTTAGAAGTGGTTGGAGGGATGCTGTATTTGAGTGATTTGCAGTTATCCTTGATGTGTATCTATCATGTAGTGGTAGATGAGTTCTTTTTAAATACTCTAGAGCTGCTGAGGCACATAGTTCAAAATTTGGTAATGTTCAGACTAGGATTGTGCTTTCAGTGTTTTCTTCTCTGGTTTGTAACGTAAGAATCAAAGAAAAGAGTTATCACAACTTTAATTTATATTTTAACAGAAGATATTTTCCTATGGAGTCTTCTGTCATTAAGAGATATTATTGAGAGAGAATAATCTTAAAGGTCCAGCAATCAAGAAATGACTATAACTCTGTTTTACTGCCATGGTGTGCGTTGGTTTTTTGGTTTGGTTTGGGTTTTTTTGCTTTGTGGAAAGTACTGAGGTTCTAAGTGTGTTGGAGCAGGGGAGCCTTCTTCAAGGGGTCAGTTGTGCATTCTGGCTTTCTGCCTTGACTTCGAATGTTTAATTTGTTAATTTTTCTCTCTCTCTCTCTCTCTCTAGCTATCAGGCAGGAGCTCAGCAAGTCGAATACTGCATAGAAAGACTAGTACTAAGCCGATGTGACTCTTTAACTTGGTATAAAACTGACTACGTTTTGTGAGCTGTTAGAAGAAAACGGAGACAGACACTTGGAAGGAGGGAGAAACAACCTATTCTGAAAAGCTTCAGACGCATCACTCTGGTGATATGCTATTCCCCTCCTAGTTTGCAGCTTTTTTCTGACCTTTACAGCAGGGTGGAAAAGACTCTTAAAGTTACTGTAATGATTATGCAGAAATTCCTACACCTATCAGACAAGATCACAGTGCTTTGAAGTCTACTCATGTCAAAATAAAATTGCACATGTTTCAGAATTTGTTGTTCAGACAAAAAAAAAAATAAACAGGGAAAAGCTTGGGAAGGCTTTTCAGAGAGGTTTTCTTTATTAATGAAGGAGTTAGCAAGTTATACTGTTGTACTTCAAATGTATCTCAGGTTTGTCTTCCTATCATATCTGATATTTCCATGAATAATTTAAAAGATCAGATGTGTAGAAGTTCAGTTCACAAAACATGGAGCAATTAGAAATGCGCGCTTTTAAAGGGCAATATTTGTAAGTGAATGACCTAGACAGTGCTGACATATCAAGATTTTGGAATTTTATGATAGGAAGCCTCTCTAGTTAGCCTTCATGCAATTTTATAGGAAAATAAAGAAAAGCAAATACAGTCCGGAGTTTAAAGATGTAGATGCCTTCCTACATTGTTACGATGCTTTACCAAATCTAAGACTTCTACATAATGCGAATCAGCAGTCAAATGTAAATCATTAGTATGTTGTAGATTTACAGTAGATTTGGGGGCTTTTTTTAGATTTATGCATGTGGACATTTTTGTAATGTAACACAACACAGCCAGCTTTTTAATTAAAAGAAAAATTGCATGTCACAGAGTAGCCTTTTCATTTGTAAGGCTTAATTTATGCCCAGAAAGATGCGGGATGAGGGAGGGGGAAGGTGACACATTTTTATTACTTTCTACACTTTTTCTTCATCTTACATGCATGTGTAATAATGAGGAAAATGTGACTTTTATCAGTAACCATGTTAATGGAACCAGGTACTTAATGCTTTTGTATCTTTTTCAGTTTTCTATTTGAAATTCAGTAATACTTCCATAATGGTTCTGAAACTCCCATGTGAACCTAACTCATTTCTCGGTGAGAGAACAAACGTGTAGGCATCTGAGTTACTGAGGATGCACCTGTGTAAGTGCGTTGTCCTTTTCCTTTTTGCCGTGACCCTCCACATCACTCTTTTCTGAGACTCCTTTTCTGATCGTTTAGTGAAAACGGGACAGCGGTTAGTTACCTGGAAGGTCAGGTCACAGTAAACATCCCCTTCTTGTCCTAATTTATCTGCCACCCTCCTTCCAAAAAATTCAAAACCAACAAAAAAACCCCACAGCTCCACACAACCCAAACCCTGACAAACAGCAATGGTATGCCATTGGTTTCAGTCAACAATTTGAGAATCCTTTTTAGGGGAGGCAATCCCTTTCTGTTTCCCAGGGGTTTCGGATTTTTTGCTTGTAAATTTTTATTTTTTTAATTTTTTTTTATATGGTACAGTTCAATGGAATAGAAATCCTGTGAATTGGATCTGTAGCGCTTTGGACAAGGAATATGGATCAAAATCTTCCCTTTTCTTTTGCACTGTCAATTTTTCTGAGCCATAACAGTGCTGTGTTTGGCTTGGGATCTGGGCTGGTCCAAAAGAAAAAATTACTTAGAGCTTTTGGACAGATTAATGTTTCAGTGTAAAAGTACATGCAGCTCCATTTGTAGGACAAATATCTTTCAATAAAATACTGTCTGAAGTGCTGAGCACCAAAGCAAAAGAGCACTTACAGCTTTGGAGAGGCTTCAGTAAGAAATTTTTCTCCAAACATTTCCTGTTTCTATAGGCTCAAATTCTAAGGGGAGACTACAGTGGAAATATTGCCTAGCTCCATTTATTAATCATTTTTTATAAAGAAAAAAGAAAAACAAAAACATTTTTCTGCATGCATTAAAAAGTAAAATCTGTAGTAAGCTTGTCAAGTACTGTTTTTCTCAAAACAAGAGGAGGCATTTTCATCTTTGTTGATGTAACTTTTTGTTTTACATGGACTTTTTGAGCATTAAGGAAGTTTACCCTTGTCAGAAATCATATTTGATTTGTTTCTAGGAGAGTTCAGGAGTAGCATAGTGGAATAGCGTGAATGGGTATAAGTGGTCCAAAATTAAAGGCTGAACTACTAGATTGTGCAAGGAACTGGCTTATGCACTAAACGTTTTGTGCCTTGGTCTACAATTAACATGATTTCTGTTAAAAAAAGAAAAAGGAACAGATGTCGTCTTTTGTGCTGCTTCTACATACATACTTTCTGTAATCCCAAAACTGCCGAATTGGTTCTTTCCAGAAAATTGGATTGAATTAAAGATTACTGTAGACATTTCCAGTCCTACTGACAGTTGCACCATTTCCAGAGATTTCAGTATTGAAAATGACCTGCAGAAGCTAAGATTATTTTGCTTACTGGTAACGAAGTTCTTTAAGAAAAAAAAAACACATTGTGGTGGTTCTGTGCTTTTGTACAATGGATGTCTTAAGCTGAGGGCAGTTTAAGGGATCCTTTCTAATGCCAGGAAGGCGTTGCTTTCCTTTACACTGTGATCTGACCCTATGATAAACCTGTACTATAGGCAAGTGGCTACCAAGTCAACTGCAAACCAACTGAATGTAAAAATCTTAGTGCTGGTGCTGAAATCTCTTCAGAATAGTCATAATGATTTCCAGTTCATTGTTTTAAAAAGTTACCAACCATCCAGTGTCAATCAAAGACTGAAGATGATCACTAATGAATGTTGACTTTTCATGCATTTAGGTTTACCTTCTTTTTAGTTTTTCAGTTCATTCTCTGCTATTTTTATCATATTGTGTCATTTAAAATTTCTTACATGCTAACGTTTTGTTTGAGCGAATGAAATAAAATTGCAATATATACATGTTGCCACCAATTATTTCTGGAACTTCCTAGAAGACTCTCCAAGGTTTACTACTTAAATTCCCAAAATTTTTAATGACTGTGATCGTTCCTTACTCCTTGATTCCATCACTCCCTTCTGTTTCTCCATCAGAAGACTCAGTAGAGAAAAGTGAAGACTTACCTTACAAAGAATGTATTGCAGGGACTGTGTAACGTTCGTGAAAGGTAACAGCTGTACATAAATTGAAATCTATTTTAAATGTATGATTTGATTTACCTTCTTACACAGCATACACTTTGGTCTCTGTATGCACAGAGAACTTGGGAAGGAGGGAGAGAGAAGGATGGTGGGAAAAGTAATTGCAGTTAGTCTGATTTTTTTTCTCTTGGCTGCTTTTATGTCCATGACTTACTTTCAATGCTGGAAATAAAAACTACCATAAAAGAATACAGCTTTCTGTACACTAAGGACAGATTCTAAAATGGTCTGATATTATTGGGGTAATGTTTAGGCAACAAGTAGTAAAACTTCTGATTTAAATTTCTGAACGGTGTTGCAAAATCTGTCAGTGTCAAGAGATGCATGGCATCTGTTTTTTAAAGTTGTGTATTACAAAAGTAGGGACATGGTCCGCAGTTGATCAAAGTGGTGATTATCAACACTTTACACAGGCTCTTCTGGATATGTTTTCCGTAGGCACAGTTCCAGTTCTAAATATGACTTGCCAGCGTGTCTCTTGCAACTAACCATACAAAGCTTGCAAAATGAAGAGATTCCCTCTGTTTTCGGTAGGTGAACCAGACTGGGCTGACAAGGAACAAGAAAGAAGTTTCCCAAACTGGTTTTGTTCTCAATACTAACAATTGTTGGTGCAACTGTAAATTTTCTTGCCTGTGTTGGCTGTCACTGTGGGGTCTTTCATGGAGAGCAAGTGAAAAGGGAAGGAGTCAGGGATTTCAGTGGATCAGGGGCCAGTGCAAAGTACTTGAAGAACAAGCTAAAGTTCATTTAAATCTTTTGTCTTAGGGGACGTTTTTGGGTGTTCAAGTGCTGAGTATTTAATGCTCAGTTACATGGTATCTAGGAGAGTCTTAATGGAGAGAGAGAAACAAGTTGGTTAAATCAACTGTCACAATACATATTTACACATTCAAAAGAGAGCATGTCTTTAAGCCACCCCATATGAAGGCCTGACAGGAGTTAAGTACTTTTATCCCTTGGAGATGGCCACCTAAGACTGTTGAAATTGATATGTTGGGTCAGGAAATCTATTATTTAGGTTTGCCATCTTAATTAAAAATGTGCTAATAGAACTTGGCATAATTGCCCAAGGTATGGATGAGGAGATGTAGTTCTAGATGTTGAGAAAGCTTAGCTAGACCTTAAAGTCACAGCACTGGTGACTGCACGTTACCTGGGGATCAACACTTTCATTTATTGCGCAGGGGTTTCTTCAGGTAGTTGGTTATCACAGTGATGCTTGAAGTAATCAAACAGCTTGGTAAAATTACCTCAATTTCATAAATGGATCCCAGTTGAACTCTTTGTAGTTTCATAAGATCAAGGTTAGAAAATGCATTTATATAGCTTGGTGTCCTGATTCTTACTCAATGGGTATTCTTTATTCAGTGCCCTACCTTGATAAACTGTTAAGTGGCAAAGATGTAGAGCTGTATTGCTGGCTCTGGTTGTTGCAGCTCTTATGGCTTAATTAATTAATTATTGCTTAACTGAATAACTATGGCAAAATTATGTGGACCACCTTCTCCTCCCTTAGCAACCTATTTTAGAGCTGTTGCTGGTGTGACATTCTCACTTCTCTTTATGACCGCAGGTCTCCTCTGCTACTGCTCAAGTGTTGTAGAGTTGGAAGTGATCTCACATTGTGATCCTATGTTTACCATCTTGAATCTCAAGTGTAATTTGTTTATTAGCAGCCAGCTGGGGCCACTGAAGTCCCTACATACTCTGAACAACTTTTTACTCAGCAATAAAGTGACCTCTGCTGACCACCCTGTGACTATCCTGAACTGTATCCTTGTTTGCAGATCCGAGTTGGTCCGTAAGCTGCTGACACAGAGAAAAACATAAAAAAGTAGTGAGGAAAAAGAGATTAAAGTGTAAGGAGGTTCCAGAAGCGTCCAGTGTAGGCTGGTACCTGCAGGGAAGGAAGCAGCTACAAACGGGTGGGGCTGTGGGAGCCCTGAAAGCTTGCAAAGAGGTTTCAAACCCAGTCTCGAATGCAGCTGGAATCTGCAAATTATGAGCTTGTCAGCAGAGGTGGCTTTCTGGGCAGTCTTGAGGCTGCTCGCCTATCATCATAGGCCTAGTGCATTTAAAAACAAAAAAAAAGAGAAAAATTATCTCTGTGTGGAAGCTAAATTATCTGCTGCTTGACTTTTTTTTCCCCCCAGTGCTGTACTGTGAAACCAGTTTGATCCTGAAAAGCCCTGTGGTGCTGCAGAACCAGCCTCAGCAGCTGAAATGTAGGGGCTTAAAAAGGGGCAGCACAGACGCGCCTGTAAATGCCTCCTGCACGTGGATCTGGGGAAGTCTGTCACTGCCACGAGGCCTTGAGGCTACAGCAGATGGGAAAGGCTTTGTAGGCCTTTATCTCTGGTGGTGAAAGATGCTTGTATGCGAAACAAAATTGGCCAAAAATATGCTTTATCTCTGTTCGTAAATGCCTCCTGGATGTGGCTCTAAGGAAATCTCTCATGGCCACAAGGCCTCGTGGCTGCAGCAGGTGAGAGAGAGGTTTATGTGGCTTGTAGGCCGAGGCCTTTCTCTCTGGCGGCGAAAGATGCCTGTACGTGAGACAAAGTTGGCCAAAAATGTGCCTTGTCTCTGCCAGGTAATCTTTGTTTTGCTGGTGAGAAAAGGTCTCCACAGCTCTCAGTCCCACAGGCTGACAAGATGCTACAGTGTAAGAAGCAGAGAGGGGCCTGAGGGGAGTCCGGGCCTGAGGGGAGTAGAGGGCCCATGGAGTTGGTCCGTCAGGGGACTTCACAGGGTAAGTGAAAAGTTCTTTCCTTTGTTCATAGTGTGCAATTGGAGAAATGTAGCCCTGAGGAGTACCAGCTGGTCCTGCTGAGTGCCCACAGTGCTAGAAAAACATTGGCATTCACGAGGGACTGATTTTGTTAGCAGATCTTCAAGAATAACTGGAGTAATCTGCGTTAGCACAGTGCTCCTCATAGCCTGATGTGAAGGCCACAGCTTTGTATTCTGCCTATGATGTGGCCTTAAACATTATTTTCTTTAACTTGAATATTTGCCAGAGCGTTTGAATTGTCAAAGAGAATGTTTTTATATCCTCCTCTCGTACTATGTGTTACTAGTTGTATGGAATGGATCTCTCAGTTACGGAGCTAGTTTGTGTTCAACCTCCTCCAAAGTGACTTCTGAAGTAGGAGTTGGTCACTTAGAAAACTGAAATTAGCACTGTTATGGGACTTAATGGAGCCTGTGTAAAGAGGAGATGATCAGGAAGACTTATTTCAGCAGTAAAATGGAATCAAATACTTGTTGCCTTTTCTCTTTTTTTCTCTCTCTAAGTCTTTTTTATATATATATTTAAAAAATCCTTCAAAATATTAAATACTGTTCTGGGATGCACTGGAGTCAAACAAATATTTGTGATACTGTGGTGACAAACTCATACCAAGTCTTCACAAGGTCACGTTCCTACAGAGGTCTCAAACGGTATTAAAAGCTGTCAGTAGTATGCAATCTCTGTGTTCCTCTTCTATGTAATTTAAGTAAATAATTTATGAGAGACAAAAAGCACTCTTCAAAGAAGACTTACAAAATGATAACTTGCAAGCTGAAAATATGCAGGTTCTGCAATTTATTGGTTGCAACTGAAAACACAAGTTTTCAGTTCTTCACTCAATCTGTTAGTTTCTACTACTTTTCAAACGTGTTTCCATCTTGTTTCACTAGCTTGATACTTGGTGAGCTGCTGCTTGCTATAATCGTTTATAGTAGAGTCAGAGAGATTCTTTGTGCTCCCATTCAGGATCAAATAATTTTGTTTTGGGTTCTGCTGAATGACTGAGCTTGGGTACCATTTCTACTTAGTGGCACAGGCTGATTGGAAAGAAAAATCCTCGTTTGAGCTGTTGGATGTGGTGTAATGGAAGAGCATCTGAAAGTCTCTCAAAGGTAGTGATCTCCAGAGATGAGCTGTGGGATGGTAATGGGGTAGTGAGAGGACTACAGAAGAGAGGGTTTCTGTCAGCCAAAAATGCAAATTCCTTCCTTGAAAATGAAAGAATATAGTTGTAAAAGGCTTTGAAGGTGGTGGCATTTTTGGCGTGGTCAGAATAATGAATGTGGGTTGGAGCATCTGGGTTTCATGTGTTCTCAAGCATTGCGTGTGAGGGAAACTCTGAGGTGACAATGTTAGTAATCAAGAGGGGGGTGAATGAGCACTTAGTGAGATAAACAGCAAGAAAATGCAGTTACTTTTCACTTGGTATGCTTTTATTTTTTCGTTGATGGCATAGAAACGTAAGGCGAAATATATAACCAAAGTCATGTCATTGATGTAGTTCCCTAATAAAAAGGGAGAGAGTTGGGGTCTGAAGCGTTGCTGCCCAGGGACAGAGCCTCCCAGCATTGCAGCCCGAGGTCTGAACCTCCTGCAGACAGATCCAGAACTTCAGCCTTGGCTGAAGTCTTGGCTTTTTCATTGTGTAACAAATTGTTAATTACATTTTATATACCTGCTGAAGGACAGCTTCCTTGCTATGAAGTCACTGGTCTTATTCTAAAGGCAATAGGCTAAGTGCTTTGTTTAACTGGGCCCTAATTGTACTAATTGTGTCTGTTTCTCTATATGCGTTCAGCTTTTATAAATGATAATGTTGCACATCTTCAAGCCCTGAGTCTTCTCAGCTTCTCTGAAGTCCATATGCGTTGTATTACAGCTTGGTCTTTTTAGTCTGAAGTGTTTCCAGTCATCAGATGTAATTGTGTTACAATCCAGTAAATACTGCCCAGCAATTTCTATGCGTCTATGAAAAAGATAGAAGCAATAAAATGTAACTTGAATTACAGGAAATGGCTTTTTTTACTGGAGGTTGGGAATCCTGCTTCTAATATCATCAGGGGTGCAATAAAATGGCTCACACTGTTTTTAATTGCTTACTTCCAGTCTCTTAGCTCTGGAATGGCATCCCTTTTATGTACGGTGTTGCATGTTATGAGTGGTCTAGAAACTTCACATGTTGACACAACTGCAATATAGTGCCTGTAGTACGCTGTGAGTAAAGAATAAAAGGCATTTGGCGGTATTTCTCAACCAGAATTGATTTGCTAAATAACTGAGATACAGATACCAAATAAATAAATAGGAATTACTGACAAGTACCACCTCGGTGAGTAGGGGGCTGGATGGCATTGTCAGCTGGTGCGGTTTGGAGCCGGTGTTACAGGGCGATGCAGCCACTACAAGTGCTATGGGATGTTTTGAGCTCTGCTGCTGGGTTCCAGAAGTACTCAATTTGCTGGTGGTAAGGAAAACAGCTTTTTAAGGGGAAGTTCCTCACTAATAATTCAGAAATGGCTTGGTGTCTGCTTTAAAAGGAGTAAAAAGGAAAATGCTTCAATAACAGAGTTATCTCTGTGTTCCTTTTATTTTTTTTAATGTCGTTGCCAAAGCTGATGCTTACAGATGCACACTTGAGTGCAGAGCAGCAAAGATGCATCACAGCTGAGTTGAGAATCTGTATTGCAAGCAGTGACTTAAAAACGGTCCTTTTATATTTTATGAACTGCATGGAAATTCCATGTTCCCATTGACTTCAGTTTCTCTTCTTGAAAATATGTTGGTTTGGAGAGAAGGGAGAAAAAACCCAATTTGTAATACAGGTTTCTTGGTGAAAATGGAGTAACTTTTAACTTTTTCTCCTCATATCCATGGTTAGAAGAGGTGCTATTTTGATATAGCACAATATCAGTTTTCTTTTTGAAATAAATACATTCATCCCAAATAATCAGTAAGATGTATAGGGTTTTTTTCTATCAATACAATACTGATTTATTTTTTTTTTAGTATTCTAGAAAGGTAACTGTAGTGCTTGAGAGAGGGCCGAAACCAGAAAAGTCTCTGCTCTGTGATCATTTGCTTTCAAGAAAAGGATTTAGATGCTCAACATGGGGCACGATAGAGAAAATCAAAATAGATCTGTTTCATAGATGTTGTAGTTTCAGCCTAGGGGATATCCTACTGTGCAGTTGAAGCACTGCTGAACTGTTAACTGAACTGTTCCTTCAAAATTTAGAGAACAACTTCCTTCGGCTGCTTTTAGTCTTCAAATAGCTTCAGAAAAGGCAAGGGATGAGTGTTTTTAGGCTTCAATTCATCTTAAAAGGTAGACACGTGCATATGTATTCACGTTCTTCCTCCAGGCTTCACAAAACCTTCATCCTCAGCAACCTCGCACTTGCCTGTTGAGCAAGGCTGTCCTCTCCTGTCATACACATAGCAGAGTCTGAGCTGGATTTTGAGGCAGGAACAAGGCATTTCAGTTGCTCTACCCTATTTATTTTTTTTTAACCTGCTTTGTTTCTGCTTGCTGGCCTCGCAGTGGATCAGCCCAGCCTCCCCAAGATGGGAATAACCTTCATCCTCTTTGTGATGAGGCTTGGGTTTATACAAATGACCACCTTGTGAAGCAAACCTTAACCTTCCTACCAGAACATGAGGTCTCCAGGTGTCTGATGGAATGCTAAATGTGAAATATCCTTCCCTTCCTTTATGAACTTTTACATCCTTTCTCACATACATTTATCACATAGAGCTTATTTCAGGAAAATTTGTCCCTCCAATTTAACCAAAACAAGAACCCCAAGACCGCTGGAGCAGGGGGAGCCTTCTTTAAGGGATCAGTTGTGTATTCTGGCTTTCTGCCTTTGATTGTTTGATTTCTTAACTTCTCTCTCTCACTTATGGTACTTAGTACTATTAAATACCTAAATACTGATTATGGAGTTGCATTCTTTTCTGCTGAT